TCCTGAACCTGCTCTATTAGGCTTTTGTCAGAATGAAAAACGACACAGAAACCGATGCAGGCATAAATTGCTTACAGGCATACGCTCTTGCGTAAACTCCAGCTGAACTCATTTCTGTAGCGCTGATCGTTTTTTGATCCAAATTTCATCTGTTTTCAGCCTTTAAATAAACCATATACTGGTGGTCTGGTTCAATCTTTTTATTAAGTTTCCAGTCCCCCACACATTTTTCAATGGTTTATCTAAATGAAAAAATGCGTGTGATTGTTGGAAGTCAGAAACCAGTGTTGAAGACAAAAATGCACATACGATGTGCACATTAACTTGTTTAATGCAGGCAATGACAATAAAGTGTTTAATTCCAATGTCTTTCCTTTCCTAGGATTGAATAGATATTCCAAAAATGATTTTTCCTAGCGAGAGAAATGTTTTGGCCTAAACAGTCAAGAATACTGAACAGTTATGGATGACAGTGGATCGCGTAAAATATAAACTTAAGTTTCTGTTTCAGATCTACTTGACTCTGAATATTTGCCCTAGATGCGGTACTAAAAAACCGAATGTCCACTAGTGTTCCGCCCTTCGGTTTAATATCTAGAAATAGTTTGATTTTATCCAAAGTTCGAAATTTTCGGTTGAGGTCACGTCTTTTTCATTCAGTGGTCGGAGTTATTAGGCCACACCTAAAGAAAATAAAGGTTTGGAACAGCTGCATCATTTTCAGGTTCATCTCATACTTTACCTGAGAAGCATTTTTGAAAAAAACTGATCTCAATATGCTTTATTGCGTGGTCACAGAAGCCGATTACTAGAGCCCTAAGGGAGGTGCCAAGTGGGTAGGTACTTATCGTTTAAAGTTGTGAGTGTACCGACAGTGTCGCAATAATCGCGGCCTCGTCATGTCTTGGATGAGGATAAGCAGGAGAAGAAGGGCTTGATTGTACAGGCATCACGCAAGAGTTAGTGTCTGCTCGGTCAGCCGCTCGGTTGATAGTCCATTTTGCGTTCCTATGTGATTAGCTAGCCTTGAAGCTGAACGTGCTCATATTCTAATGGCCTAGGGAGTCGTGGTCACCCAATTCGCAGCGCAACATGGGTTCCACAGGCAGAAGGTCTATTCTCGACCGAGATGCCACAGGTATCGTGCCGATGTCAACCACGACTGCACATTGCGCTTGCAATGAAAATGAAAATTTATTTTAGAAGCAAAAGAATGCGAACGAAGGCAATAAATGCTACTCCGTCCTCCCCGGCATTAGCATGGTTTTGCGAAATGCGATTAGGCAGAATTTCTGCCATTAAGCTTTGTTGATTGAAATTCAGACAAGACTGCCTCCATATTGTCATTCATTCATATAATGAAGTCACATACAAAAAGTGTCAGCGACTGGTCTCACAAAATTTTAGCCCAAATTCCAAGCTTCGTTTTCGATAAAAAAAAGATCCCTTAACTGGCTGGTAATGTATTTTGTAATTATCTTGAAACATAACCCATTATATTTCAAACAAACCAGGCTGATGTCTTGGGAAAGCATTCCATTCGAATCGCCTGCACAAAGCGCACCTCGCAGTAAACGACTGCTTGGTTAGAACACATGTTGTCTATTGACTATAAATATCTTCATAAGTCCAAAGTACTTTATCAAAAAGTAAAAAAG